GAAATCGAAATAAAAATTAATGGGTTAGCATCAATGCACCAGGCTTCAATGGTGGTGTGTTATGGGGCAGACAAATCTGGTCCTAATTTTTCTCGCTCGTAGCGCTATTGGTTTGGCTTGCGGAGGGGGCGGCCGTCTTGCCTATCCTGGCCGTCTTCCTACCCTGCCGTCTTACCCCACTTTTCTACACGTTTTATTTGGATGGGGCCAACTCAGGGTTTACCACAGTTTTGCCCACTTGTCGCTATATACATATAGGGTGCGTCAAAATTTTTGATACCTTTCGTCTATCCAATTTAACTTGGAATAACTATTCGCAATATGCTCCAAAGTATCGCGTTGCTGAGAACGTCCTTGCATTCCTGCATCCTTCCCCAAGGCGGAGATTAACTGAACAGCTGATCTTGCCCCCCCCCCCCCGGAGGGTGGGGGCTGACAAGCCTGGGTCATCGTTTACCCAGGGATAGACGCATGAATCATGGCCTAGACATTAGGGGCAAACTGTTCAGTCAAACGTTTAGAGGTGCGTAGTCGCGCTATTGGTATGCCCGAAGGTGGCACCTCACAGAAGGATGGTGCTCGATACTTTTGAGTCCCAGTTCTCGCCTTAACCCGCGCCCCACTGGGGGGGCTATTTATAGCCCCCTCCCGTTTTTCTGCAATAACTTCCAAACCGCGTGACGTATCGACGCCAAACTTTCAGTACCTTAGGCTGCATCAATTTGACACCTTGTGTCAAAATTTGAACTTCGTACCTACTATAGGTCGGCCGGAAATGACGTCAGAGTGACGTCATGTTCGGCCGATTTCGACGCAAAAAATTGAACCACGGCAATCGCTCCCAAGAGCTCAGTTTTTAGGCTAGATCCAATTTCTTTGCATGAGAGGACTCAGAACAGACTGCGCTATCAAACTGCTATCTCGGATTTTCGAAATTTTGAAAATTTTGAAAATTTGATATAATAATATCCAAAATTTATATTTTTGCATTTTTTCAAAAAGTTTTTGACTTTTCGAAAAAACCGGAATATATGTGATATAACGCATTATTATGACTAACTCTAGCAAGTTTTAGCTAAATATCTTCAAAAATGGCCAAGTTTTACGCATTATTGCAAAAAGTTCACAATTATTAATTTTTCAAATCAATTTTTCAGCACGTATTTGACATTGTACGCCAATATAAATAGCACCATCGTGTTCCTGAGCTCAAACTGCATCTAATAGACACCTTTTTTATTGAAAAATTTTAACTTCAAAACTTGACCTTTTTTGACCTGAAAGTGACCTAACATAAGCTAAATTCGACTCAAAATGACCTCGAATGACACAGACGACATCAAATTCGAAATCTCTGACCTAAATGGACCATAAAACATGTGTCACGTGACCGACGCATGATATAATATTTTCGTGACCTGTGATGACCTGACCTTGACCTGAAAATCAAAGTACAAGTTTGGTACAACTAGAGCATCTGTTCCCGAGTGTGTGATCCAAAAATGAGACTGATCTGACTTGTAAGACGGCGGCCAGAGCCCAAAACGTGAATAAGCCAAAATGCTAATAATTTTACTTTGACCTGACCTGTGACGTCATCGGTGACCTCGAGGTCAATGAAATTAGGTTTCGCTCGACAGTTTTTCCGGGACTATCAGACGCCGTTTGAATTTTGACGATCGGCCCAGTAGTTTCGGAGTTAGGAGGGGGGCTATAAATAGCCCCCCCCCCCCCAGTAGGGCGTGTTATACGCAGACCCCAGTGGGGCGCGGGTTAAGTGCTGGTGGAAGAAGTTAAAGAAGAGGGGGAACGTCATATGTAGACCCCGATCAGGGCGGCCCTTCTGCATTTCAACCGTCGCCAAGATCGTCATGGAGAAAGCACCTGGCAATTCCGATCACTCTGCGAAAAGCCTGGCTCAAAAGGCCAACTCAAAAGGATCGTCCGGTGTATGGGACGATTGTCCGCCGATACTGGATAGACAAATTTGTACTGAAGGGCCATAAGGCTCACGTAGGGCCAAACGGAAAATCAGTGATTCTAGAGCCTTAAATTTTGCAAGAAAGGCAAGAATAGGATAGTGGAAGAGTGGAATTAAGTAAAACTTGTCATGCTTTGCGACGAGTCTACATTTTACCAGTTTTAGCAACCAAATCACTGGAGAAAGCAAGTATGGTTTGAAAACATGGCAAAGGTCCCGAAAGACTCCAACGTGAAATTATGGCTTCATCTGATGGCATAGCGCAGGATGTCCTATTAGGGCCTGGACTAGCTGGACGTGATTCCGCTGAAAATGGTGGTCGATGATGACTACTGTACGAGTATTAGAGGATATCTTGAAGACAGCCTGCCTCCCTGCCGCCAACAGGACAGCCACCGTGGTCTCCGTTCTTCAATGGTGCATAGTGCCACACAGGTCGGACAGCATTTTCATGGGAGACAATGCTCCTGCCATCGCTCTGCCAGAACTCTGAGGTGGTGCTAGGAGCATCTTTCCAATATCTGGGCGAATGACACAATGCTAAGGAATAACCCTGACCTAAATCCAATCGAGTTGCTCTGGGGATTAGTACAGCAGGGGCTTGTCCAGATATAACCTCCCAGCGACCCAGGACAGCTCGAAAAGGCGGTCAAGAGGACGTGAGGAAACATCATCCCTTCGACTCTGCAGAAGCCTAAGGCCAGCACACCTGTTCTTGTCACTGTGTCCAGCTTCATGGGAAATGTATTTACCGGTAAATCGAATCTGTTGCATATTTTTACTGAAGGGTGGAAGCGATTCGTAAGGCATCAAAACTTTTGACGCACCCTATATGTTTGAGGATAGGTATATGTATAGTTACGAGTGTTATGGTGTTGTAGGACGAACCACAATATTTACTCTTTCTATAACTCAATAAGTGGTGAATAAACGAACATAACGAGTTTGGTGTCTGCTTCCTGACACGGCATCCTTCCTACGGAATGTTTATGACCGTTTTTGCGGCGTTAGTCGAACTTTGTTGAGGCAAGTTTTATATCGGCGCAACACTGCAACACATCTGTGAGCGACGACTATACCGATAATGACTCCACGCGTAATGTCTGGTCGCGGCGCCACCGACCTGGCCTTGGTGATGTTTCATGGCCCCGCGCTATGCGTAGCGGTAGGGTTTCCATAGAATCATCAACAAACTCGGACGCTCGCAACGCTGAAAGGCCGCGGCGAATTCGTCGCAAACACCGCACCAATACTGTAGCGAGCGTATAAGCGCACTGCATTATATGTAGCGGCGTGCCAAGAAACACCGCCCTGACCGGCCAGTCACGTGACCAGCTAATCACATCACGTGATTAGCAGGCGTGGAGAGCGTGAACTTTGGCCGACCGCTGCGATGGCTCCTCGCCGGTCAGCAGTTTCTTGCAACCGCACAGCCTCTCTTGACAGTGTCTGGCGGACGTATGGGACCTGTCACCTGACAGTGTGGGTGCACGGAGGGACCTGTTACCTGACAGTGTGGGTGCACGGAGGGACCTGTTACCTGACAGTGTGGGTGCACGGAGGGACCTGTCACCTGAGAGTGCTGGTGCACGGAGGGATTTGTCACCTGACAGCGTCAGATGTACGGAGACAGGTCTCTGTACTTCTGACGCTGTCAGGACACTGACAGGTCTGTCAGTGTCGGATGCATGGAGGTGACTTGTCACCTGACAGTGGCGGGTGCATGGAGGGCACCTGTCACCTCCGCTCGTCCCCTGTGCACCTGTCCCAGCTCTATGGTCCCAGCTGCGGCTGAGCGAAAAGTTTACGACTGACTAAAAGCACTGACCGATGAAATGTCTTGAGTGCCGCTGCAGCCAGCGTGAGGGGAGAGGGGAGGGGCCGAGGAGGAACGAAGGGAAGGGGTGGCCACCCCAGGCGTTTTTATCGCGATCGCTCAGAATAGGCATTTGAACGTTGAACGTTGATTTAAGCCAAATCTTGTGACATCGGCCTCATTTTAACCCTCGCCCGATCTCCAACTATCTCAAGCACACAGAATCGTTATTTGATGCACTCCTTGCAAGGTTAGATGCGTCACTTTTGCAATGTTGACCTTGCGTGACGTTATTTATGACGTCATCAAGGTCATATTAGTTTTTCGTCAATAACCCTTGATCAAATAGAGCTAGCGAGTCGGGAAAGCCACCAATGGACTCAGGAAGGCCTGCCGAATCGAATGATATGCGACATGACCTCTTTCGACCAACTTCGTGACCTGGGGGTGCTGACTGCTGACCTGACCTTGACCTGAGAGTGAGGTCAAAACCCTAAGTTGACCTGACCCAAACAAAAAGTATATCATTCGACGCGCCTGAGCGAGGCGAACACGATGCTGCCAAAATCGGCGCGCTGCGGCCGTTTTTTTTTTTGCGAAGTTATTCACCAAAAACTGAACCGTACCTTGGGGCACTTGACCTGACCTCAGAGGTCACCGGTTGACCTAGGACCTTAAAATCGGGTACCAATCTCTGCGTCTCGTAACGGCGCACACGCTCGTTTTTTCCGCGACGCGCTAGCTCCACCAGGGGCGAAACGGCGAGGGGGGTCGTACCCTCCCCCCCCCCTCGGCCGGCGCGTATGTAGAAAACCAATAGGTCCGGCGAGGGTTAAGGCATTTCTCGATGTTGCGAGTGCCGAAACCGGTGATAGTGAGCAAGGGACCCCAATTTGGCTATCTAAACTCAAAACTAATGTTAAGGTAGGATGGTCACTTTAAGGGCATAGCTAAAGCTAAGCAAGAACTTGTGGCAGCACCCCGGGCCCAATACACAACCACTTCTCCCCTGTCCGGTTCACCGTTATGAAACTAGTGTGGAAGTCTGACATATATCAGTAAATGACAGCATTTTTCTCCGGGTTCCAGCGTCCATTATATTTTTACAATAATTAGATGGTTGTTTTATTTAATTACATCTGGCTGGTGAGCCGGTCGTCTCCCGCTGATTGCCACTCCCGCCTACCGTCGACTGTGTCACAGGTGGGTGCCGGGCGCCATGGACGACCCGGACCTCTACGACGACATCCTGGGCGGCACGCTGTCGACGGAGCGGCCGCGCTGTGTGGAGGTGCTGCTCGAGGTGGGCGTGCACCGGCGCGTGCTGCGTTTGCCCGAGAACACCAGCTCACCGCTGAGCGCCGTGCGCACGGCGGCCGCCCGCCTGCTCGGCTCCGACGCCGGCCTGCGGGACTCCCTCGGCTCCGAGCACCTGGTGTTCCAGCGGCGCAGCCTCAAGTTCGACACCTGGGTGGACATGGTGGCAGTCGGCGAGCGGCCGGTCGCGGACGGCGAGCGGCTGCGCGCGCTGACCAAGAAGGTTCTGGAGGCCGGCGAGGTGATGAGCAGTGACGGGGAGACGGTGCGGGACGCCAGTGACGCCGACCGGGGCCGGAGTGGGGACAGAAAACGGCGCCACAAGAAGCGGCGCCACGGGTCGCGCAGCCGGCGGCGGCGGCGGCGGCGGCACCACCGCAGCAGCAGCAGCGACTCCCGGTCACCCAGCGGCGACAGCGGCCGGGAGGGACGCCGCTCGAGCGGGAGCAGCCGCCGTCGGGAGCGGCGCCGACACTCGGGTCGCCACCGGCACCGGCGGAGCAGGAGCGTGTCTAGCGAGTCGGGCTCCGACCGCAGCCGCAGCAGTCGCCGCTCCAGCAGCGTCAGCAGCCGCGGCAAAAGCAGCAGTCGGAGGAACAGCAGCACCTCCAAGCGCCGCGGGCCGCCCTCTCCTCCAGTGAGCAGCGTCAAGCCGCGCGTCCCCCCTCCGCTGAAGGTGTCGGAGCAGGCGTGGCAGCACATGGACCCCGAGTTTGCCAAGCAGCTGCGCGAGTACGAGCTGGACCAGGCGCGCCGCCAGGACAACGAGGAGCTCCGCAGACACCTCTCCGAGCTGGTGGAGATCTCGGATGGCGATCTCTCCGTTTCGGACGACGAGCCGCCGCCGGCCTCGGGCGCCTCTGTGGTGGTCAGCGAGCTGGGGCAGCGGGTGCTCGACCGGCTGAAGAAACTCAGGGAGGAGTTCGGTGGAGGGGACCAGGCGCAGTCCTCCGCCGACAAGGAATCAGACGAGGCGCCGGAGGAAAAACCTGAGCCAACGCTATCTAAAGGTACGCAAACACGACACAATTATAATCGATTCTTTTATTCAGGAGCTACGGCGTTGCTCCTCCAAACCACACAGTACCTTTGGTAAATGTTGTTGTAAGCTAGGGTCATTTGTCGCTTCTTGCCACGCTGCTCAGTTTTCGAGAGTTGGGGAAGCTATCCGCTTTGTTTTATTTAATTTTTGCATGATGAACAAAACCAGTACACTGAATGCTGATCACGCTAGTACCCAGATCCGGTTCGAGCGCGTCCGTAAGTGTCCTTTCCACTGGGGACCGGGCTATTCTCAGTGTGAGTTGTGACGCCATCCCCGTCGACAGGGGGTCCGCTATACGCCTCCTTCTTAAACCTGGAAAGCAAGCACCCGCCGATGGCCCTGAACGAGTACTGCACCGCTCGCGAGTGGGAAGCGCCCGTCTTCCACCTTACGGAGAAGCCGAGCAACAGCAAGAAACAGAAGATGTTCACGGCGGCGGTGAGTGGCGCCGAGATAAGGCTATGGTTGGAGTGGTGGTGCGTTTGTTTATTGTGGAAGCCCCATGGTAGCTCACGAGCCTCAATAGCTCAGAGCCTTAGAGGGCCCGTCCTCTGTCCTGCTGTTGGCGTGTCCTCAGTGTCTGTCCTCAGTGTCTGTCCTCAATATCTGTCCTCTATGAAAGTCTTCTTTGCCTGTCCTCTTTGACTGTCTTCTGTGTCTGTTCTCGATGTCTGTTCTCCATGTATGTCCTCTTCGTCTATTCGCTATGTGCCCTCTGTTCCCTGTCTACCTGGTCTAGTGTATCTGCCTGCCATGCTGGTTTTCTGCGCTGCCGCTGATATGTCTCAGTGGGTCCTTCCACCTTTCCGCTCACCAAGGGCCACTTGATGCTTCAGGTGCGTGTCAACAAGAGGATGTACACGGTGCCCTTTCCTGTGGTGAGCAAGAAGGAAGGGAAGCGGCACGCCGCTCAGTACTGCCTGCAGAAGCTGGGTGTGCTGAAGGGTGGCGAAGTGTACAAGAGGATGGAGGGTGAACAGGATGTGATCTAGGGTGGTTTCACAGGATCGATGTGCGCCATCTGAGGTGGCGCCGTTGACGCTGGCCGTTATTTCTGTGACAGCTGTACCAACGTCCTGTGCTGACGCTCGTTAGGCGGGTATATCAGCGACCGCGGCGTGTGTCAGCGATGTATAACATGGTGTGTGCTTCACGTGTGTTAGGGTCTCGGTAATGACTGTTGACGATTCCAATGTCCAACCAGGCGAGTGTGGTGCGGTTGTCGTCTAGATTGGCGCGGCGCGGACGTTGCGGGCCTGGTGTTATTGTCGGTGTTTGCCGTCTCCGACGAATTATTTGTGTTTGGTTAGGAGTGTGTTAGGATGTATGGAATATCGTCTAGTGAGACCTTTGGTGGAACGTTGCGCGAAGCAAATCCAGCCCTTTACAACTTTTGCTTGGTGACTATGTTTCTTTAGCGGAATAAAGTGAGTCGTTTTGACTCGATTTTTGCTAATGAGCAGGTGGGAGTGTGGACATTGACTTCACTCGTGCAAATGTCATCCAGGATTTGAATGACTCGGCAGACGTTTCGGCCCGTGATTCGGCGAGGAAAATATTTTGGCCCCACTTCACTTTATTGCGTGTATAGCGAAGTCCGTGGTGCTTGGCGCCGCGAAATGATCCACATCTTACCTACAGGCTACAACACGTCAAATAGGTATGCATCCTCTTTTACACTAATTATCCAATGTTAAACTATAATTTAGCTTTCAGAAGCTTCTTACTCCAAAATGTCTATACCTAATGCCTATGATAAATTGCGATTTACTTAAAGGGACCCTCCCACCTTAACATTAGATTTGAGTTGAGATAGCCAAAATGGGGTCCCTGGCTCACAATTACCGGTTTCGGCACTCACAACATCGAGAAATGCCTTAAATCGGAAATATTGAATTTCAAAATTGCAGCATTTTGATTCAGAGGGGCTAATGCATAGGAATACCCCTCTGAATGTGTGACGTCATCGCAGATATCTAATGATTTTTAAATGTTTGACTAAAACGTTTTGTAGCACGCGGTGGTATATGCTGTTTTGCGCGCAACAAATGCCGCACTTTCAAATAAGGTCGCTAGGAACAGCGGAGATCCCAAAAAGTAAACAAAAGTAAAAGTCTAATATCTTGAAAACCGGTGAATATTTTTCGATGAAATTTGGTAGATATTCGGTTTTGCTCTTTCTGAACCGAGCGACATCACTTTCATGCCAATTCATTAACTTTTTTGAAGGTGGGAGGGTCCCTTTAACGACCTTGCCAAAACCACACGTATTTTCAAATCACGACATCTCTATTTTGTACCCTTTGGCAATGAAAACTGAACAGAGTACAGCTGATTCCAAAGGTCAGATAAGGGCATATTGCATGTCTTATCCCATTTTTATCATTACCTGTTATAGAAAGAGCTAAAATGCTCTCTGCTTCTAGTCTTGATGTGGTCATTTCGTTGAGACTCATTCGTACTTACGCTGCATGCCCAGCTTTGGTCAGGTGAATGATCTTGACCTGAGATCAATTTTTGGTATTTGACCTTTCACGCTAAAATTATTCTTAAGGTAATCGGCGCGTTTTGATGGGAGGAATTCAATGGTGGTAAAAATACAAGCAAACACGGTAATTGATCGATGTCTAAGCCTGATTTATTTATGACATGCCTCCATGGTGGGCTTTGAATTATGAATACATATAATAAAACTATCATTACACCTTCAGCGACCCAATGGTGACCACAAACGCCCGTGTCCAGCGCTGGCCGGGTCAACAGCCTCAGTGCCACCACCGTGACAGGTCGCGCCGGCCTCGGCGCCACTGCGTGCGACGCTGGCGTGGCGTGGTCGCGGCTCTGGTGTGTGTCCCCATATCGACACGAGACTGCAGCGGCGCCGGGCCGGCCGACAGTCGGCGGGCGGCGGGCGGGACGAGCGGCCGACGCTGACCACTGCAGGTGGAGCGGTCGGCCGACGCTGACCACTGCCAGCGGAAGGGCGGCTCCTCGCCGACCATGCTGCTCGAGCTGCTGACGGTGACGGCTGCGTTGCTTCACGGCAACAGGTGAGCAGAGTGTCGTCCTGATATGGAGCTCACTATGAAGCGCGTCTCAGGTGGGTTCTGAGAACGCTTCTAATGGGGTTTTGCGGAGCTTGAAATCGTCACAGTTAAGATCTATTTACCATTTAATATCTCTAATACATGAAATGGGGAATCCGTATTTTCCTAATTCACCAAAGCCTGACTAGGTTTTTGTCGAATAGCAAGTGCAAACGCATGAAAAGGAAAAAAGGAAAAGCATGAAAATTTCTCGCGCATGTTGTTCAATGTTTGTTCAATGTGTGCGTATCAATCAGGGGAAAGAAATCGGTGCATTACGTATTTGAATCCATCACTGGCTGAGGCTGAGTGATGCCGTTTAATTGTCGAATTTCATGTGATGCATAAGATCTTGTCGAGTGCTTATCCTGAAATTCTGTAGCTCGTTGCAGCTGCTGGCCCATACGCGCGTTAGTAGACATCGGGTGTTGTGTTCAACGTCCCGTCTTGGAATCCGAGGCCATGGGACATCTGAGATAAAATCGTGTGACATGGCTGGCACGGCTGTTTTACTGCGGCGGTCAAAGCCATGGAGCTTCTGTGACCAAAAGCAAACCATTGAACGATTAATTTGATGCATAATGTAATCAGCCTGATCCGACTGATATTTAGCCACCGTAGTGAAAAACATTTCTCTTGTGAAAAAATAGCAGCATTTAGCTGCACAATATGCTATTTATGCCATTCATGATATCGGATCCCGG